TTGTAGGAAAAATTAGCAAAGTGCTTGGGTGAGCTGTAGGGAAAATGCTGCCAAGGCTCCATGGGCCCAGATGGATCCAGTAGCATTGCAGCCTCCCCCTGCACCGACTTGCATTGTCCTGAGCCATTTGGGTTGCTGTCTCTTATTTGAAGAACACAGAGTGTTCTGAGGCTGTGCAAGGTGTGTATGTATAGCCCTGGGGATGATCCCTCTGCTCCCCAGGCAGGCTGACTTCTTGTTCTCCAAACCTGTAGGAGGTTCTCCAGAGTTCAGACCTAACTGGTGAGCAGCAGGTCCCAAAGAGGAAGAAGTTGAGTCCTGAGTCAGAAAGAAATGTAGCATGACAGGAGTTCCCAGTGGCTGGAGCTGCTATGTCATTCTCTTCATGCCCACAAAGGTAGGCAGAAAATTTTATCTGTGCACCTAGAAAAGCCCAAGAAGCTCCTGGTTACTCCAGATGCCTTTTGGTAGGCTCCTCTCATATCCTGCAGCAGCTGCTTGCACCAGGAAAGGCAGATGTGTCTCCTGAGCAGGGCTGTAACAGATCCTGCTGCCTGCTTGTTAGTCTGGGCTTGGGGCTTCTGCCCAGGCATTTGTAACCTCATTTCTGCTTGGCTCCTGGTATTGCTGCAGTCTGTGATGGAGAGGGGCTCTTAGGACTGAGCAGCAGAGCTTTATTGCTTTATTTGTTTCCCAGCATCCATGGCTCCTGTGACATGCAGGGGAGGGAGGGCAGCCCACCCACCCCGCTCGTTGCTGCCCCTGTTCAGACCTAAGCCCTCTGCCAGCTGTGAAGTCCTGCTGGGTTCTCCCTGCCCCCCCTGGGTGGGACCATGCTGGGTTGTTCCTGTCACAGGGAGCCCATCCCATCCCATCCCTGTGTGCTGCTTTCCTCTTCCCTCGCTGTGCTCCAGCCCTGGCAGTGGCTCCTGGCCGAGCAGCAGTGAAAGCCACTTTGGCCGGACATGACCTTAACCTGGGCTTTATTTAGCGCCTTGATTTATGGAGGAGTTATTTTAAAAGCGTGTTTCTCTTTTGGGAGGTGTGGTGGCGTGGTGGCAGTGAGCTGGAGTTCATAGGTCCTCCTGTGCTATTGACAAAGAGGCGTTTGAGTTCCAAGACATCTTTTGCTTGGGGAGATGCTCTCTGGCTTGCTTGGAAAGTGCCCTGGCTGGGGTTTGTGCCAAGTGGCTGAAAAGTAATCAGTGTCCAGGATCCTTTCTGTGAAGGGGATGTGGCAACAGTGTTGGAGGCAGGGAAGACAGAAATTTACAGTCCCTGAAGGAGGCTGCTTTCCTCCAGGAGGCTCCTGTGCTGGGCTCTGCCAGCTCTCGGGGGCCCCTGTGGGCTGGCTGAAGTGGAAGTGTCCTGGGGCAGGAGTACTCTGTCCTTGGATCCTTGCTGGGTTTAGCTTGCTCTCCTCCTCTCCAGGTGCTGTCCACTCATCCTGGGTCACAGAGGTTTCTCCTCATGGCTGCTGGAGGTTGCGTTGCCTGCTTGAGCAAAGTGATGGAAACTCTGGGATAGGTTGCCCAGGGAGTTGTGGAGTCTCCTTCTCTGGAGACACTCAAAAGCCATCTGGAGCAACATGCTTTAGGGGACCCTAGCATGCTCTAGGAAACCCTTCAGTGGTCTGAATGACCCCTAATATGGTCTAGGGGACCCTGCTGGAGCAGGGAGTTTGGACTGGGTGACCTCCTGTGATGCCTTCCAACTTTACACATTCTACAATTCCGTGATGTGGTTTGTAGGTAGGACGGGCTCTGGACTTCAGGTTTATCAGCCTCTGGGCTGCAGGGCACTATCCCCTTCTCTGGTTTGTAGGAGTTCCCTGTGCCTCCAAACCACGTCTTTCCCATGTGTGTGGCAGCAGGCCCTGCCTGCAGGCTGGGTGTGTGAGGCTGCCCAGCTGTGCTCTGGCACTCAGCAGCCTCTTACAGGCCCTGCTGAGGCCCTTTCCTCTGGCCCCTCTGCAATCTGAGAAGTTAATTAATACAAATAAGCAGTCCCATCCCTCGGATTGTGAGCTGGGTTAATGAGTCCCTGATTAGAGGTGAGTCTGCTGCTGTTGCAGGCTCCAAGCTCTGCCGGGTTCCACCCTCTGTGTTGTCAAGGTGACTTCCGAGGCACTGCCACGTTGCACCCTCTGCCCCAGCAGGACAAATCCCTGGGTGAGCACCCTGGGTGGGTGGGAGCACTGGGAAGTGGTGTCACCTCCACAATCCCCTGTTGCACACGGAGGCTCCATCCATCCTTGCTGTGTAGCTGCCCAAGGATGCTGGTGCTGCAATCACACGCAGCGTGGTGGGATGGGGGACTTTACTCCTGTTTGGGGCTTTTCACGTGGAATTAGCAGAGACTGGGGCAAACATCTCTTTGCACAAATAGGAGTTGAAACCTTCTCTCTGTTCCTCAGAAGCCTGCACAGCTCTCATGGCTTCATGGTGTAGTGTAGCCAGAGGAGATAAAGCCTCTGTGCTGTGGAGTGCACTGTTAGCACTGCACTCTGCAGTGGCCACAGGCTATGGTTATCCTGCATTTCACTAAAGGAAGGATAATGTACGACCTGGTTTATTTTAACCATATAAAAGATTTTTGATTCGGTGCCAGTGTTAATAATTGTTTTGTGAAGGCTTTGCTAAGGCAGCAGGAATGGTGTGAGAACCTTAGAGCGATGCACTGACTCATGTGCAAATATTTTGACTTCTTTGTTTTATTTGCAATAGTGAACTTGACAAATTTCTTTTAGGGAGGGATCGATATCTAAGAGAATTTTGCTCAAGCAGGGCATGGGGACAGAAGATGGCACAGAACCAACCCCAGCTGGTTTTGACCGATACTTTGAAACCTGTGGGGTGTGGAGGGTCAGAAAGAGAGATTGTTGTCAAATGCCACCAGCAGCAATGCTCCTGTGATAGTGCCCAAGCAGGCAGCTGGTGCTGGGTGGGAGAGCACCTGTGTGAAGGCCAGTTTTTGTCTGACAAGGCCAGAGGCGCTTGCTGGGACAGGTTGATGTCAACAGAGGTTATTATTTTTCCGAGTGGGAAGAAACTTGTCTAAAGCAGCCTTCTCCTCCCATTTAGGGTTGGGGTTAAATGCTCACCCTAGCATTCAGTGTTTGGGAGTGTGCACGTAGGGCTCCTGCTTTTGGAGTCCTGGGGTTAAGAACGTTGGGTTAAGGATTCCAGCTCAGGATAATCCTATGGTTCTGTGAATATGAAAAATAGCTCCTTAACCTCTGTTTATCCGGTTGCATTGGCCTTGAGGAGGATTGCAGGAGACAGCTGATTTCTCAGGAAAGGTGTGAACACTTTAGGAGCCTGCTGCCATCCAGCCTTGCTTGTTGCTGCCACCAGGAGAAACAGCAGAAGAGGTAAGGAGGCAGTGCCGTGCCACAGGCAGCGTGTGGTTTGCCTGTCACACGTGTTCTGCCAGCTCGGTGCAGGCAGGGATTGTGGGGGCATCTCCTGGGCGTCCCCACCTCTCCTGTGCAGTCCCACAGGCTGTCCTACAACAGAGCAGGGAGTTTATGTTGTGCTTAAAACACCCAGCCCTCTAAAGGAGGAACTTGGAGGTTGTTGAGCTGTGAGAGGTGGGAAGGCTCGTGTGAGGAGCATCATCTCTGCTCGGGCTGCAGGTTGGTTCAGGCTTGCTCTGAGGCTGCTGCAGTTTCTCAGGCCAGTGGAGGTACCTGGAGTGATGAACATGTGCTGGTGTGGAGTGGAAGAAGCAAAACAGTTTGTTTCCTCCTGATGCCCTCACCCTACTGCTCCCCGGTGGTGGCGTAAGCTGTTGTGGCCCTGCTGTGTTTAACTTTCTCTCCCAGTCTTGCTGTGGGACTGAGGTATGTTTTCAGGCATGTCCATGCAGCTGTTCCTGTTCTGCAGGAGGCTGTGGGGCTCCTGGGCCAAGTGGCTGAAATGCTTTTCTTGTCTCTAGTGAAAGGAGGTGGATTCAGATCAGATGAGGACCTGGCCAGACACCTGAGTAAACTTTCATTTGGTTTTGTAGCAAAACTTACTCCCACTGGCTGTAAGTTAGCCCAAGGGATCCCCTCTAAAACAGAAAGGAAAGGAGGGATCCTGATCCTCTCTCCAGATATGTACAACTTTATTTTTTTTTATTGTTACTTTTTGGCAAGCCCTCTTGATTTACACCCATGCAATAACTCAGATTTTGGCCTCTGGCACTGGAATTGGTCCTGACACCGTGGGCAGGCTCTGGCTGGCAGGTTCTCCCAAATGAAGGTGGAGCCAGGGGAGCCATTGCCTCTGATCTGTGAGCTGGAAATGGGCAATCCCATGTGTGTGCTCAGGGACCACTGCTCACATGCGGTCTGCGAGTCCTGTTGGGAGGCATCTCTCGGTGCAGAAAATTCCCGGCTCCTGGAGCGGAGCCTTTCACGAGAGGCAAACAGCTTGGAATAACGAGGAATCTCACTGGTGAGCGGCTTTCCATGGGACCCAGCGCTCCGGCAACTTACCCTGTGCCGGGACTCCAGGGCGCAGCAGGCTCAGGAGCTTCAGCCCGACCTGTTGTCCCTGTTGTCCCTGTTGTCCCTGTTGTCCCTGCAGCTCCGGGCTGTAGCGTACCCAATGCTGGGCGGCATCTGCAGCCCCGGGTACCCTGGACTGGGGTGCCACCGATGCGCCCACCCCACGAGTGGCTGGCCCGCACGCGCTCACGTGCTGCGGTGAGGTCTAACAGCCGCCCCACCCCGCGCAGGCAGGAGAAGGACTTGCTGCGTAAGCAAAAGCTGGGAATTCTCGCCGCTGTGCACGGCGCACTCTGCGAGCGCTCCACTCCCCTTTTTGGGGAGAGCTTTTTAGTGTTTACCTGGGACCGCCGGTGCCAAGAGGAGCTAAGAAGGGACAAGCGCTTCGCTCCTTCGATCTTCACTCCCCCTGCCTTGGGAGATGGCTGCTCTCCTGGGCGCAGGGCTCGTCAGGGCGCCGGGGCGGATCGAGCCGTGGTCCCACTAATGCTTTGTCTCTCGGCAGGACTCAGAGTCGCTGGATGGCTGCATTCAGAGCACGTTATCAACGCTCTACCCTCCGTTTGAGGCTACCGCAGCCACCGTCCTGTGCCAAGTTTTTGATGTGGTGGAGAAGACGTACCGTGGGGATGGACTGCGCTACCTCATAGACTTCCTGATTCCAGCCAAGCACATCCTGCAGTGCATTCAGCAGGATGCCTGTGTGAGTACATCATGCTCTCTAAGGCCTGGGGAGGCTCTCTTGGAGGGTTTTCTTTCTGCCTCTCGTGTGTGTAACGGCCGGCAGAAGGTACGTGCGGCAGCCTGGGTGGGAGGTGTGACGACCCACGGGGCAGGCAGACAACTGGGAAACAGTTGAGAAATCGTTGTTGAAGCCAAACCCGCGCGGAGATCAGGTGTGGAGCGGTGCCCTCGCCTTCCACAGCCAGCAACACCGCACAGAAGGCGTAAGGGCTTCACAGGAAGAGGTTTAGCAAAGCACTTGCTGGCTGTGGCTGACTCAGGTGGCCTCTGACCCCATCCGTTCCCTGGCCTTGTGGACGAAGCCGTCGGGCTCCCGCCACCGGCAGGAGGACGTGTGGGGAGAAATGCTGCCAGTCGGTGTTTTTCCCAGAGCTCCAGCTCCCCTTTGATGGTTGCTGGAACGGTCGCAAGGCTCGGTAGCCCCGAGGAGTCACGTTACATTTACTGCCAGAACGAGTCCCAAGATTAACGTGCGTTACTGTTGGGAGCCTAAAATGTTAAACGATGAGTCAAACGCCTCCATCACAAACTTGGCTCAAAGTCTGAAGGATGAAAAAAAAAACACCCAAACAACCAGCCCCAACAACCTAAAACTTGGATTCAGTCTAACCCTCTTGTCTCTGAACGTGGAGCGGGTATATGGCCAGGCTGTCGATAGAAGCCCTCATGGTGGAGGGCAAGGGACTTCTAGGAGGAGCAAAAATATTAAATAGAAGCTGAAACAATCAGTTACTCATTTGTCTCAAGGAGGTGAAATGCTGTGGGGAAAGACCCATCACAAAGGATGGATCCATGTAAAGCTGCGCATCTTGCAAGTGCGTGCTTGGGTGCAGTGTTTGTCCCACTGTGTTGTCAGCCAGCCTCCAGCTTGGTGCCAGCTGTGTGTTTGTGAGCCCAGGAGGATCCAAGGTTGTATGTAAGGATTTTGGGGAGCTGCTCTCTGTCACAAACACTGGAATAGGAGTTATTCCATCGCTATCTGTAGCTGCAGTTTTTAATTCAACGGTGCATCCCATGTTTTTCCCCTCTAAAGAAACGAAAAGCTTTTCATTTGTGTGAAGTACTTATTATGGCAAGGCACTTCTCAGCTTTCCCCAGAACATCTTGGCCTCGCCAAGGTAGCAGTGTCCCCACTGCTTGAGATCCCGGCAGCTTCCAGCGGTGCCTCGGGCAGGTGAGGTGGGTGGAGGGGAGAGGGAGGGAAAGCGGCAGGGAGCTGAACCCACAGTGCTGCTGGGCGGTGTCGGGGGCAGGAGGGGTGTGCTGGGCAGTACCTGGTGATGGGACAGGGACAGGGATAGGGACAGGGACGGGGATAGGGACAGGGATAGGTACAGGGACAGGGATCAGGGATAGGGACAGGGATAGGGACAGGCTCAGGCTCAGGGTGGGCCCCGCGCTGCCCTCGGGGCAGGACGGGCGGGCCGCGGGCGTGCCGGGGGGGCGGGCCTTGTTCCGCCGGCAGCCAATGGCAGGACAGCTGGGGCTGCGGCAGCCAATGGGAGCGCGGGGCTGCCTTGACGGGCAGGGCGGGCTCGGCCGAGCTGTTGCAGGGCTGTTGCAGCACGAGGCGCCGGGGCGCGAGGGGTGTGAGGGCGGCGCGTGCTGCGGGCGGCGAGGCGGGAGAGGTGAGGGCAGTGGGCACTGGGAGGGTCCCTGAGCTGGGAGAGGTGAGGGCGGTGGGCACTGGGATCCCTGAGCTGGCAGAGGTGAGGGCGGTGGGCACTGGGAGGGTCCCTGAGCTGGCAGAGGTGAGGGCGGTGGGCACTGGGGGGGTCCCTGCGAACAGCCTTGCAGGAGTGAAGAGCGGTGGGCACTAGGACGGTCCCTGAGCTGGCAGAGGTGAGGGCGGTGGGCACTGGGAGGGTCCCTGAGCTGGCAGAGGTGAGGGCGGTGGGCACTGGGAGGTCCCTGAGCCGGGAGAGGTGAAGGCAGTGAGGTCCCTGAGCTGGCAGAGGTGAGGGCGGTGGGCACTGGAGGAGCTCAGGGTGCTGGCGGCCCCTCGGGCCGGGTGACACGGAGGCCAAGGGGGGCTGGTGGTGTCTGAGGTGTGCTCTGGGAGGGGGAGGCCAGGACGGTGGCTCTGTCCTACCCGAGCAGCACAGCCCGGGGAGGTGGTGCAGGGGCACGAGCTGTGCTTGGAGGTCTGCCTGGCACTGCCTGGCCTGCCCAGCAGCCACAAAGTGTGGGGCTGGTGGGGCAGCCGCCTCCAGTGAGGGCTGCCCAGGGCTCAGCATTAGGTGTCGGGGGCTTTTGCTGAAGTGTGAAATGTCTGGGAGAGTGAGCAGCAAGAGCCTTTCCTCCTTGCTTGTGACCCTTTCTGGCCTTGACTCATGGTTTTGTGCTTCCCTAGTGGCAATAGAGGGAGATCAAGGGAAGCTCTAGGTACCTCCTGCTCTCTTTAGAGGTTGTCCCAGGTGATTCCATGTTTTATTTAGAAGTCTGGTTGTTCGATTTTTTTTTTTAATTGATGAAATTTATTTCATTTGCCGTGGACTCCTCTTCCCCAGACCCCCACTGTGTGCCCCTTCCTTTGTTTTCACTGTCTGAAATCACAGAGGACTATTTCATGCTGCTTGTTTTTTAAAAGTTTTGCCTGCAGTGCTTTCTCCTTAGTTTGTAGTTCAGTTTCTCCACGTGAGCTTTTCCTAAACACTCTAAAGGGAAAAGACTTCACTCCTGTCTGAATGACTGCTGTAGGAAATCTTGAGAGCACTAGATCTTCTGTCAGCCTCTGCAGTGACAAAACTGTAAATGGCTTCATGAAATGAAACAGGTTCATGGGCTTCAGCTGGGTGTGTTAAAATCAGCAGCCTGTATGTGATTCCTCAGGGGCTGGAAGCGGTGTTCCAAGGGATCTGTCTCTGCTTAGCACAAAGTTAAACCCCAGATTTTGCCCCCTGGCCTTCAGATGACATCCTGAGCTAAAGGGTCTGTTCCAGCCTAACCATCCCTGCAGCTCTAGGAGATTCCAGCTTCGTGCCATGTCAGTGGTTGGAGCCCAGCTCTTCCCTCGGAGCCAGCTTTATTCCTGGCTGCAGCTGCTGGGCGTAGAGGGTGTTCCTGGCACTCCCCTGATGAGCCTGGTTTGGCTCGGGAGTGTTTGGACATGAGAAAAGCAAATACTTGAGCCTCAAAATGAAACGTTAAAAGGGCTGTAATAAGCCTCTTCGTGTAATCTTCCCTTTGAAGGTGCATTTGGGAGCAGGAGCAGCATGAGGATGCTCCGCTTCTGAAGTTCTAAAGCTCTGTAATGTTTGAGCTGTTGAGGGACTTGCATTCCTGCTTGGATGTTACTCTGACTCTTGCTGCAGTTTAGACTGTGGCTTTGTAGGGTTTTTCAGACACATCAATGCATTCTGCATTTTAGTTTTGATGATTCTGTTGCTGAGTTTTTTTTCTCCTTGTCAGTCAGTAGTCAAACAACTTACCTAAGCAGTGAGGTTGGGCTTTTAGATTTCTTAAAGTATGAGTAGCCCCCAAATCCACATTTGAACAGGATGCCTTTATCAGGTAGGTGCAGATGGAATTCAGCTTTATGTTAATGCCACTGCTGATTCTGTCTTTCACTTTTCAGTCCTATAGATTATTTATAATAGCTTGGGAACTGATCATTTTGTCTGCCACTTCTTCCCCTGAAAGACCTTCTGTACAGATGGCCTTAGTATACGTACTAGGAGATATTTCAATGGCAGAAGAGGGGTTGGTGTGGTGTAGGGTGCAATTTCATAGTCTCTTATGGAAAACTGCAGATTTCTCTTTGTTTATAAGACTTACGTACAAAATTCTTGGCTTGGGCACTTCTGTGCTTTGTTGGCTGAGGGGCTGTGCGAGGCAAGGAAATGGGAACTAAGGGAAGGTTCTGTCCTGCAGTGATGCAGTGTGTGGGTACAACAGCAGGGCAGTTGCACTCAGTGAACAGAAATAAAACTGCCCTGACTGAAATGATATGGACTTGACTATGTCAAAGAAATGGGACTGGCTGCTCTCCATCCTGGAACGTGGAAGAAGTTACCATGTGATGCCAGATGTCTGGTAATAGGGATTTCATTGAATCTGTTAAGTCAGGGCTAGTAACAAAACACAGAGAACAAGCTGAGTGTACAACAACATGCACCGAGCAAGGACTGAATTAACTGACCCATTGAAAACCGGGTAACGTTTTCATGTGGTTTGCTCCATGGCAGGTACCAGCCTTTTTCATAAACCATCTCTCTGTAGAGAGATAAATTTAATTGTCTAATCTCTTGCATCTAGGATTTATGATGGAGTTATCTGGAAGATTAATTACTGTGTCAAAGGGATCAGGGTTTATGCAAGTAAAGGTGTTTTTAGGAAAAAAAGGCAGGCCCAGGAGGTGATGGAGGTGGATGTGCTATGGTGATGGGACATGGCTTAGTGAGTCCAAGCAATGGCAATGCATCCAGAAAATAAGCTCCAGGGTCGAGGAGGAGGAATTATTGAATCTGAAGGATGATTTGGGCTTCCAGGACTCTAAGCAACTTTGCATCAGGTGCAGTGAGAATTAGAAACCTGGCTGGGCTGAAGGTGAAGCTTGCTGAACATAAGAAAGAGATTACTTTGTGCCAGTACCTCTTGTTTCAAGGTGTGTGAGGATTCAGGAAGTTCCTTCCAGTTCTGTGGTTTGAATTAATTGAATCTGAACCCTTTTCGTACAGGAAAGATGAAATTAATTGTGGAACTGATGGCTTATATCATGGCTTAATTTAGATCTTACCCAAACAGAATCAAGTTCAAAGCACTGAAATTATTTTTTGAAGTTGTGATAAAGCTGTAAATAATTGAGTCAGGTCAGTTCAGCCATGAAACTTCAGTTCTTTTACTGGGATTTGTCTGGGGCTCGGCCTGAGTGCTGCTGTGCTGTGGGAATGAGGAAGTGGCTTGTTTGTTAAGTGTAGTTCCTCACAGCTTGCTGATGGCACTTGCTGCCTCCTTTCTCCTGCTTTGTCTCTGCAGTGTCACCTTCCAGTTCCCGGGAGGTTGCAGCCTCCCAGTGTAGCTTGTCTTGCATACATGGGTTGTGTCGGTAGCTTTTCTTGTGTCTGCTTTTCAAAGAGAAGGCCTCAGTACGAAAAACTCCCCTACACCAATAACCAGAGACCCTCAGTTCAACTGTTTCATTGATCTCTGATTGAAAAGCTTGAGCCGAGATCTGTTCTTGATGCTGACAACTCTTTCTCTTGTCTCCTCAGGCTCAGTACTGCGGGTTGCTGTTCCGCCACGCGGGCTGGCCCCTGTGTATCCACGAGAAGATTGTAATCCAGCTGGCTTCCATTGACTGGCGAGTCTTGGAGCCTGGTGACTTCTACCTGCAGGTGGTCCCCCATGAGAAGAAGTCTCCACGAATTGTCCTGAAATGTTTGGCAAAGGACAAGCATAATGTAGAGGAAGTGGTGATTCCAGAAGTTTCATATACCTCTATTTTTACTCTGGAATGGCTGAGCACGTTCAATGGAGAGCGGATGGGTATAGCACTGGAAAATTGTTTACTAACCACTGATGATAAAATATTTCGTATCCCCTGGGATAAAGTGGTTAATCCTGAATTTATAAACAAGCCAAAATTAATTGAAAACAGTATCATCTCTCCGGAAATAACAGAGGAACGTTCGATTTTGTGCCTCCCCACGGATCATACCGAGTGCAGTTCACCAGACTTGGGGTCTCAGCATCTACAGGAACAACATCCAAATCGAGACGGCCTGGTCATTAACAGCACAGCTCCACAGTTAAGTGGGGCTCTTGTCAATGGTGTCTGTACGAGTCCTGTGCCTCCAGAGAACTTGAGAAGTGACCTTGAAGGGGAGTACGTTGAGCTGGCAGAAGTTTCACTGCTCAGGTTTGGGTCACAAACAGGCTCTTTACCCCAATCGCTGGCTTTGAATTATCTAACTCAGCCCAGAGCACGAGTGAATGAGTCTAAAGGCAAGCACAGGTTTATTGTCCTACAAGACAGCACCTACTCCAAGAACTTAATTCAGTCAGCACTTATGCAGAAGGAGCACTGTCAAATGGACACTCTGAGCACTCCTGGAGAAGTTCTCAAAAATGTCATTCCATCAGAAAGCGGCAAAATGATGGCACATGAGGAACCGTCTCCTGAAGATCAGCTGATACCAGTTGGTCCTGGAAACATGGGGAATAATTTTCCTGTGTCTGAGTCTCATGCCTGCAGCACAGAAGGTTCATGTGCAGAGCAGGAGGCTGGCAGTGAACACTCGCTGGACTGGCGGTACGCGCTGTGCAGCTACAGTGACGCGTGTGCTGGAGATGGCCTCAGCTGCAAAGCACAAACACCTGGTGCTCGTGGAGACATGGAGGGAGAAAGCCATGGACCCACCAGAAATGCTGCTCCGGAAACATCTGAACAGGGCCCAGAAACAATTGTGAATGCTGCTGGAGAGGGTCAGAATGAAAGGACAGAGATGGACGCCCCTCCTGCGTCTGTCCCAGGGCCTTTGGGACCACCCTGCACACCAAAGGAAGGCTCTGATGTCTCGTGCCAGAATGTCAGTGAAAGTGTTGTGCCAGTTCAGGCCACTGCACTGCCTGAGAGTTCAGATGTGTGTGTGGGGAGAGGCTCTCCTTCAGGGAACGAGGCAGATGTAGGTTCTTGCTGCAGCGATACGGAAGCAAATCTTAGTTCTCCATTAAATGCTCCAGAACAGAAGCAAGAAGTAGATGAATTTGAGGTGGGAAGAAGAGATAGCCGAGAAGAAGTCAGAGAGATTAAAGAGATGCTGACAGCAAATGAAAACCAGCCTAGTCACAGTCACTGTTCTGTCAGAGCTTCTACGGATGGACCTTTGTCAGATGGTGAAAAGCAAGAGCATAAGAAGGCTGAAGAAGCCACACTACTCCAAACTGCTCTGCCAGAGGGGGGGCAGATGACAGAACAGTTAAATAACAGTGACTCTTTGGGCCCTGATCCACAAACAGAAGACTCAAGTCAATTCCAAACCCAGGGTTCTGGAGAGAGGTCTGAGGAACCACAAAGAGTGGTGGAAGACCAGGGCTGTGAAAGTGAAGAGAGCTCTGTGCTGAACCCAGAGTGTGTGGCAGTACAGGACTCCCAGGGAAGGGAGGAGAACCAGGGAAATTTTTCTTATGGGGAAAAGTCAAAGACCAAAACCTCAAAAACACTGGAAGCCATTGAAGAGGAACTGGAGGTTGGACCACTGTCCTCAGGACCCGCTGAGGGACACACAGAGCCCAGCACTCTGCAGTCCCGCCCAGAGGCAGCTTCTGGGACATCATCTCCTAAAGGTACAACTGTTGAATGCTTGTTTGATAACATGGATTGATAGCAAAGTCCTCGAGGACTGCTTGAGTACTACTTACCAATTAGGATTTGATAAGTACGTCTGCTGGGAGGCTTTGGGGTGATAGCACAGGGAAGGGATTAAATTGTCGTGTTTGTGGTGGGAAGTTAGCTTTCTGTTCACAGGTGGGTTTATTGTGGTACTTTGTTTAATGGTTCTTTGCAAATTTTACATAGTTCCGGTGTAAGAGGCCTTTAATTTCAGTTGATGTGATTGCTGTTACATTCACGGTGTGCACATTGTGGATGCACCCAACAGCAACGTGTGAGGTGAGAATGTGTAACTGCACAAGGCTTTAGAACTGCACTGGCTTTAGAAGGATGGTTGTGGCAAGAGGAAGCAGCAGTGGATGCCCCAGTAAAATACTAGCTGTGTAATGCAACCTGCAGATCAGCTAATTTGCATGCTGGTAACTGATTGAGGCAGCAAACTGCAGAGGTGAGGGATTCCCCCCTCCTTCCCTCCCTTCCCCTCCGGGGTGCTTTCTTCAGCCTGATGATGTTTCAAGTAAGAGCTGTTTAACTGGAGTGGGAGATCAGAGACAAATGAAGCAGCTAACTTCAGCTCAGACCAAATGTTCAGGCAGGTATTTCCCCAGATTTCTTGCTGCCTGTGCTCCTGCAGAAGTAGTTGAGGGGGCAGTGGAGGTGTCTGCCTTTTGCACCAGCCTGTCTCAGGCAGTGTGTGACTGCATGGACACGGGGTGGGCTGTCCCCAGCTCTGCTGAGTCTGGAAAGCTGCAGCAGATATGCAGATCACCCCAGGAGTGTGTGTGTGTGTGCGGCGGGCGGGTGAAACGTGCCATTCCAGTTCCACAGCTCTCATTCCCTGAGACCCCTGGCTAGGAAAATCAGCCAGCTTGAAATGTGGGAGTGAGGGCTCTTGAAACGGTTGGTGGTGCAGACCCACACTGCGAGGCCGGGTCTGACCCTGTGGGCCAACAACAGATCCAGAGCTGGTTGTCTTGGGATGTGCTGCCAGTGCAATGCTTGCACTGCTCCCAAATTGTGTGGCCGAGAGCCTCCCTCAGCACTGCAGCACAACTGCATTTTTGGCTGCACACACAGCTACTTTCTGAAATGTCCAAAAGGTCGCATTTTACCTGATGTCTTAGCAGCCTCCTAATGGAGCTAGATTAGTGTCTGTTGATTAAAATAAAATTTCATTAACATCTGCACCAAAATAATTCCGTAGTTAGGCAAGCCCACGGTTGCCAGGCGTTTCTGATACTTTTGGAGTGACCCACATTTCTCTTCTGTGAAGTGGAGGGGTCAGCTCAAAAATTTTCTGTTTCTGAAGTGTATGTCTGAGCATCTACCACCAAGACTAGAAAAAAAAAAAAAAAAGAGATCCCCTTCTACCTCTCTGAGGCTCTTGGGGGATGGATGCCAGGAAATAACCATGCTGTGGGTGTCCATTCCTGACCGAGCTGAACCTGGCTTGACTTCATGTTTGCTCAGGACTGAGCCTCGGAAAACTTAGTCTGGTTGAGTGCTGGGTAGACACTCTGCTCATGATTCCAGTGGCTGCTTGTTCATTGTTCCCACCTCTTCTGTCTAAAATTAGCCAGGTCCAGCTTGTTAGGAGATGATAAATGTGATGTTCTTACTGATTCAGAGAATGAGTCTTGGCTGGTGCTGGAGATTTCTGCTGTGTTGGACCCCTCTGGGGGGTACGAGTGGAGTTTGTTGTTAATGAAAGACAATATAAACGATTCTGGGGGTTTGGCTGAAATAAGTGACGTTCGTGGCTCAGGTCTGTTGGTGTTGAACTTGGGCACTGCAGCTTAGAAAAAACCAAACTCTGATATCTCAGTGTTTTGTAAGGCAAAAGAAAGCTTAAATCGCCAGGAAAACCACCCAAAGTAAGGAAACAAACCCTTTAAGGCAGAGGGGAGCTCAAATATCTGTTAATGCTGGGAGTATGTCTTAAACACTGTAGCTGGCACTATAAAAAGCTTAATCCATTCAATTACCTCTGATTGCTTTGAGATCCAAACAAGCCATCTCCTTATCTAGCCCCATTAAACCCTCAGAGATAGACTAATAAGATAGCTCAGAGATAAAATTACAAAGTGAAGCAAATGTCCTACAAATGGACTTTTTTTTTCCAGCCAGGCAGCGTGTAGATGAGTTAAATTCTCTGTAGCTGTGTCTTGTTGGGGTCATTTTGCCACTGTGATTGGAAACTGCGAGTATCTTGCCTAAACTGTAAATAACAACAAAGCTTAAGCTGTACTGGGTCAGTTCAGACCTGCAGCTCACACCTCGGCAGCAGTGGGCAGAGGTGCAGTTTGCTCTGTGTGAGGTGGAGGATCTTGCTTCTTACAGCAGATACTGTAGATTATGTCAAAGTACACGTGCAGAACTAGGGCATCTGAGTTTGCTGTGTCTGCTCTTTTCCTTGTCCCTTAACTCTCTCCCTTTCATTCCACTCCCAGTGGGCTTGTTTTCTGCACAAATATAGTCCTGTGTAGAAAGACTTAGATATAAATAAAATGAAGTCTAACTGAGAGTCAAATGTGAGCTGTTTTGAGTTGGTGGCTTAAAATTTACACTGGTTCCATTCACAGATAATGTGACTGCTGGTTTTTTCCTACCGACTTAACATCTAAGTGAAAGTGAATTTCGAAACTTCACAGCTCTGGAAAGAATTCCTCTATTTCGTGGGTGGAAACTATCTTGATATTCAAGAAACAGGCTGCAAAGCCACAGTGGGGCATATTCAGCAGCACCTGTTAGGGCGTTCCGTTCCTGTGTGATGTGAGCACAGATGATCCTGGTGCCCGGGCAGTTTGCAGGAAAAATGCTAATGTCTCTTTGAAATGCACACAAGCAAATCCTCCTCTACCACTTCCTTAACCTCGGGGAGAGGTGGAACCTGCAAACACGGCAGATTCAGCTGTCCCTGTTCTCAATTTGCTTTCAGATGTAATCCTCTGCCTCGGACAATTTCCGCTTCAGTCAGTGCCTTCAGTCAGTGCCTCTGCCCCGCCTTGGGAATAACAAACAGGGTGCTCTGCAGAGCTGGGCTGGGCCCCAGCAGCTTAGGGAAGAGGTTCATCTGGGCAAGATGTACGTAGTTGGGAGGCTGCACAGCTCCAGGGGGGTTTCCCCAGGGCTGTCCCAGTACCAGGACTGTGCCTGGTGGGATGAGCAAAATGCTTCTCTCTTCTGGCTTTTGGGAGCCTCATTCCTAAGAGATACCCAAGGCAGGCTTGTCATGTACATTTATGTCTTCATCTGACCCTAGTGTGGTAGCTATGTGGAACATTGCTACCTACATTCCCTTTCTTGTCCTCTTTAAATGCCACCTTTGATCCTTTTGTCATTTAATACTGATGCTTTTACACAAGCTGTGTGGTTCTGCTTATTGGCAGAGGTGGTTCCATGTTCTCCTGGAAAGTCTGTCAGCCCCTCATGTGAAAGCTTTGGGCATGACTTACATGACTGTGTGATGCTCAAGAAACCCTGTCTGTGGGAGATCAGTGCCCCTCTAAAATGCTGCTTCAGGAAGATCTGCAGCGTTGTCCCAAGTGGGTGACCTCTTGCACCGCTGGGAAGTGGAGGCTGAGGTGGCCAAATGCAGCAGATGCCAAACTCGTGCCGGGGATGCTCCTCAGGAGGGGTGTTACAAGGAGGAACGAGCAGCTTCTCCATCACTGGCCTTGATGGTGCAGAGCCCTGAGCCCCTCCCAGCTCCCCCTGTGTCGGGTGATGAGCCACGCTGCTCAGGGCACTGCTCTCACCCACTGCAGCAATTTTGAAAGCAGTTCAGGCTAAGCCTCAACCTGTAAATCTCCTTCACTGCTAAAACTTGTATCGAAAGCCACTTCAAGGACTGCTTTGTTCCTGGTCCTGCTCTTTAATGAAGTATTGGAATCTGTTAGTAAATAAACTGAGTCAAGTGGCAGCATTGTTGATGCAGCAGGAAGGCAGGATGGTTGAAGTCAATTTTAAATAGCAATTAAAATGTCTGACTTCATAGCAAGCAAATAAATACTCCACTCTTATTTTCCTGAAGAAAGGTGGATATTTGTGTTGGTAGATGGCTGAAGTATCAGTGCAGTATAGCCTTTTCTTTATTCCAGCTTTCTGCAAACACTGGGATAGCCAAGCTGGGTACTTTGGATGCTAAAGATGCATTATTGAAGGCATACTGTTGGCTTCTCATTCTTGTGGTGTTCAGAAATGGGGAATAATGCTTCTTACACAGAGGGTAGATACTTTCTTCTTCTGTCCAGATAATTTTGCATGAAAATTAAAACGTGATAAAACCAGCCTTGGTTTCCATGCAATAGCAAGAATATTTAATTTTAGAATTAACCTATGCTGATAACTTGTACTTTAGAGCTGAGGTGTCAGACAAAGGAAGCATTCTCTGTAGTTCTCGAGCAGGAGCTGATTGGTGTAATCATCCTGTTCTTCAGTGCTTTAAAATAGGTTTCTGACTTTCACATTAACTGTTCATTAAAAAAGTCTGGACGAGCAGAACAAGGTCCGTTTGGCTAATTTCCAGCTGACTTGTCAGCCTCAAGTTGACTTCATATTTTCAGGAACTAATCTGAAAGTGGTGCTGGGGGAGTAATTCTGCTGTGATGGAGTTGCCCTCCCTGTCAGAAGCTGGTTTATCACTTCAGCAGGCTCGGGCTGCTGGAGCCCAGCCAGGGACTTGCACCGTGCCAGACTCCCAGGCTGTGAGCAGACATGTGCTGTTTGATATGTTACCTTTAAAAATGGCTTTGACTCCAGTAATCCTGATCTGAATCGAGCTTTTGTGCTTTGCAAACTTCACAACAGATTGGTTTATTTTGTTGGAATTACTGCAGTACTGATGTTATAACCAGTTTTGCAGCGTGCACGTGCTGCTGGCACGAGGACTGAAGGAGCTGCAGAGTGCTGGGGGCACGTCCCTCCCCCATCTCGTACTTCCATGGGACCTTCTGGGTGGAGTTCTGCTTGAGCTTCTGTTTGCTGCTTGTCTTACAGGGATGGTGTCAGAAGGGACAGAGCTGAGAGAAGAAGCAGCTGGCACAGATGTGTTGAAACCAGCGAGTAAAGTCGGTGCCCTGGAGGAAACTTCGACACCAATTACTCCCCCGACATCCCCGACTTCTGGAACTGCCTGGGGTGGCCAGTTTGCACCTACCATAGTCAAGGATGTGAACCCAGAAGTGCTCAGGAGTGGTGTTGCCTACCTGCCTGGTGAGTAGCTGGGCCAGAATGCCTGGGAAATGTGGCTTGTGGGAGGGCAAGGGAGATGAGCCTCCAGTTGCAGCGCTGGAGACTGCTGCCAGTTCCATTTCTTTCACCCCAAACATCTACAGAAGCAACATTCCTTGAATCCTCTAAAGCTTCTGAATGGGCAGGACAGGAAGTGGAACTTCCCTCCCATGAAAGTCACGTTAATTTGCTCCCAGGAGTCTCAAAATGTTAACCGAGTGCATGTGAGTCAGAAATGCCAAATCTGTGGGCTCATACTGGGAGTTCAAAAAGAGAAGAGTGAGGGTGCACCTAATAATGGGCTGGTGGGCCTGACATCAGACCTGGTCAGAACAATAGGAACTTGATTCTCTTGGTAGATAATTAAAGGATAGGTGTGGAGAAGGTGCTCTGTGACAGGGCTCTTGAAAACCAGTTTTATTCTTGGTAATTAGAAGTTTGGTTGATTAAATGTAGCCACCTAGATATAATGGATTTTTAGAAAACATTTGATTTCATGACACATAGTGTTGAAAGGAATATCCCAGTGAAGTGTGGATGAGCAATGTGTGGGATGAACAGTAGTGTAGCTAAATAGCAGATGACAAAAGCAACTATCAAGGCAGGACTCCCCAGAACTGTTCTGCCCACATCAAGTTGTAGGTCAAACGTTACCCAGTGTTTGCATCTGTTAGAGCAGCAAGTATCAAATGGCTGCAGATAAAACTTCTGCATGGGATGAATATTGGCAGAGGGGTGAGCAAAGCTGAGGCTGTTGGACAGAGCAGCCAGGGTCACTTGGTGGGCAGGGCCCACACGAGACGGCTTTGTGTTTAACCAAACATGAACTAAAGCACAGGAAGTGAGCTCTGCCTCTCCAGTGAGACACAGCCTTTGGCAGCACCTGTGTAAGGAGCCCCTGTGGGTTTGTGTCCTTCCACAGCCAGTGGGAAGGGTTCCCCTTTGTGGAGTGCAGGGTATCTGCATTTGATCAGCTCAGGAGCCACGTGTGAGTGGGAAGTTGGGCAGAGAGCAGGGAGGAGGTCAGGCACCTGTGCAAGGTGAAGGAGCTGGGAAGGAGAGCAGAAAGGCAGCACTGGCATCTCCCACTCGGTGCTAGGGCTGCAAGACCAATTTTGGCCTCAGATGTGTAAAGGGAAGGGGATGGCTAAACAGGTTAAGAGTGAATTTTAGCTCTGTGTGCTTGAGATGCCTCTCAAATAGTCATCTCTGCTCCTTTGGGATTTCAGTGGGCAATCCTCACACCTAAGGCAACACACTCACCACGCAGTTAAATGTTTTATGTTGGTCATTGGTAATGATACAATAATTACATCAGAAGGAGTAACTTTTATAATGAATAGTAAACAAGATCCAATTAATAAAGTAGTAGCTGATGGAGTTAGCTGAAACTTTCGGGATGGTTTCAGTTCTGCATTCTGCTCTTGAATGATTGTGGTTGTGCCACTGTTGGACACCTTGCCCCGGTGGCTGTGGTTGCTTTTTTGACCTTGTCGGGCAATTCCCTGACTACTATATGGAAGTTCAAGGTTTAATCGAGTTCTGGTGATGCCCAGCCTCCCTGATGGACAAAAGATGTTTCTTCAGAGTTAAACAGTTTTTACTGAGACTGGTTATTGAGACTGGTTATTGAGCCATTTTTCCAGTAATTGAGTGCTTTGCTTTTTTACAATTTTATTTATGATGATCCCTTTATCTTATGAAACAAGGTATTTTAATAAGCTTTTTCTAATGTCTTTCCACCTCTTTGATTATGCAAGGTCCAGGCCACAGTATTTCAGAGTTATAGAAGTTGTGAATCACACAGATGATGGAAGATTTTTGTTAGCAGGAGGAAGCCTGTGTCACTGTTTTGGTCTGTGGGAGGGAGAAAGCCCTGCTTTGAAATGATGCCCATCTGTGTCTGTGGCCCTTACTCAAATCACATCCTAGTGACAGACTGAGAACACTCCAGGGCAGTTTTCCATGCTTAGGGCTGTCCATCTGTGTCTGTTTTACCTGTCAACTTGCATGGTTGTCCCAGGTGGTACAGGACAGTGTCTCCTGTGGTAGCAAAGACTTCAGAAGAGACAGAAAGGCACAGCTTTCTCTAAGTCTCTGGTTTTCTCTTGTGCTTGGGATTTCCCCCCCTGATTCTTTCTCATACAATTTGTATGACAGGAAATGGCTCCTGTTCTTATGAATTACTTTTCACACAATGGACACGTTGTCCCTGCTGGTCTCCAGATCACTTACCTTGCTGGTGACCTGTGTGAGTGCTGTCTCTTGAGCAGCCTCACTCCAGAGGCACTGCCTGCTTTTGAGTGGCAGAGGCAGCTCTGGCTCTCCAAAGTGGCCCACCTGCTCTTCACCTCTGCATCTGGAGAGGAGGCTGGGTGTAAGTCCAGAACTGGCACTGCTGTGTCTTCCTGCTCCTGTGATGAGCTGTGTCTTTGGGCAGAGAGGCATTGTGCTTCCTGGCTCTTCTCTTTCCTCAGCATGTCACAGCTCAGCTGTGTTGCCCTTACTGTGCCTTATCTATCCCCTGAGCAAGCTCTGAAACTAATGAAAGGCTGGCACTGGAACTAATGAAAGGCTGGCACTGAGTGTGCCCTTGTCAGGGCTGTGCTCCTGGGCTGGCCGCTCTGGCACCGCTGGGGAGGAGCTCTGGGCTCCTGCTCCGGGGCCTCGCTCCCAGGAGATGTCTGGGCTCAGCCTGTGTGCCCAGTCTCGTCATGCAGTGCATGTTCTGCTGACCTGCTCTCTCATCTGACAGCAATGGGAAGGTGAGATCCTTTCATCCTGAGTTCGTGAGGTTCTTGCTTTTCTCACGAGGTTGGGTTATCATTGGCTGACTTCAGCCATACTGATGAAGAACGTGTGTTTGGGTAGAAGACAGCAGTCCAAATTTAACACTGCCATGAGACAAAGACAAGCAGAGCTCAGCTACTTCGCTCTGGGGCAGCAGTTGGGTGCTTTGGGAGTGTGTTTATAGCCTCCTGCCATCTGCAACATACACTGTAATGAGTTCTGTAGAGGATTTCCAGGAAGGTGATGGGGTGCTAGTAGGAGAATACACAGCTGGAGCCAGGCTCTGTTGAATTCCTTGTGTGACTTTCCCCCCCTTCCCCTCCTGTTACAGGTACGAGAGATAAATCGGGGCGTGCAGTGGCCATAATAACGACAAGGAACACGGCCTGGTTGAACCCCCACTGCAACACCACCGAGCTCGTGCGCCTGCTCCTCTACCTGCACAGCATCCCCAGGTTTGTGGGGATGGGGTGGACACTGCTGCCCTCTCTGCTTGGCCTTTTGGGCAGGTGGGAATCGATGCAGCGAGTGGGAGGGGTTCACTGGAGATTAGCTCTGTTGGAGCACGGTGCTGATAACACCAAGGTTGTGGGTTTGGTCCCTTTATGGGCCATTCCAGGAGCTGAACTTGAGGATCCTTGTGTGTCCCTTCAGAATATCCTGTGATTCTGTGACTTTACTGGCCTAGGAACCTGCTCCAGACAGTCCAAAACAGGTGGGGATCTCCTGCTAGCATGACCAGGCTTGTGTTCAGCAAAGCACTCTGCCTATTCTCTGTATGCCTTGTGCACCTGGTGTGATAGAATTGGTTATGTACAGAATGTTTTCATGTGTTGCCGTGAATCCAAGCCATTCTTGCTATCCTTCATTAGCTCAGAAAATGGGATTTGGGAGCTGTGATGGGGCAGTCATGCAGCAGCTCTGTGGTAGTGTTGTGACATGATATTTTAGGGCCAGACCTCCAGGCTGAGAGGGAGGGAGGATCTGCAAGGATTGAGAAAATCTGCCTTGATGTCTGTCTGAAAATTTATTTTGAAGGCTGCAGGCTAGGGTTTGCTGCAGCCTCTCTTCCTTTCACAGTGACACAGACTATTCCTCCCCTGCTCATCACTTTGTTTCCCTTTTAGATGATTAAATAATAAGAAGTAAAGCCAACTCTCTGATAATGATTTTTGGTTTTGGAAGGCTTTAAACCATTGGTAAAGGGAGGAGGCTTAACCCACGAGAAAGCTTCTGCTACTCCTGCTTTTGTTTCTTATGCTCCTCCCTTCAATTCTGATTCTGGGCAAGATGGGCTTTGGGTTGGTTCCAGACTGGCTGCTCTTGTGAAGCAGTGAGGCTAAACCAAAGCTTGTCCCTGAACACAATTAGGAAGGGCTGGTTTTCCTGTGTGGATTATCCAGAGTGGGTAGGACACCTTTGCTATCAGTGACATGTATTCTAGGAACTGGAGAAATGGGAAGTTGGGTGGAAACCACAGAATCCTGCAGCAGAGGTTAAACCTGAGCAATCCAGTGGTGGTTTCCATATATATATACTGGTTAGGAGAAGGTGGCCAGTTAGTTCCCTGTCCTTACAAAGCCATAATGGACTGGGTTTTTTTCACCCTGCCATGATTATGTGTTCTGTTTCCATAATCCTGTTGATTTTCCTTAGTGACAAAGGTGACCTTTTTATCCTTGTCCTTGCAGACCAGAATGCCAGGCTTTGGGTCTGACTGTTCTCGTGGATGCTCGTCGCTGTTCCCCAGTTCCTGCTCTCTTCAAGGCCTTCAGCATATTGCAGGTGAGCCTTGAGCTTGGGCACAGCAGCACTGGCTGGCTCGCTGTTGTGCTTGGGTGGTACATCTCCATCTGCTGCTTTTGTCTCCATCTGGCTCCTGGCTCTCTGTTGGCTTTGGGAGCTGGAGTTCCGTGCCCAGCCCTGCTCTAGGAGGATGACCTGGCCTTACCAGACTGCAGACGAAGCGAAAAAAACCCCAAGCAATCTGAGTTAGGGGACAACACCCCTCCCCATCCCTGCAAAGCTGCTTTCATCTCGGTGCTGAGAACAGCCTGTAATCTGAATTTGTCATGAATTGTCCTGCTTGGAGATGTCCCCTGCACCGAGGGGCTGTGTGAAATGTGCAGGGATTTTTTGCCTGCCATGGAGAAGGGAGGAAGAGAGACCTCCACCTGCTGCCTTGGGAAGGGAGGGACGCTGCTTGCCATGCCAGGTGGAGAAGCACATGCAGCTGTTGATGTAGCTGTCAGTGAATGATTGGAACCGGACGTGCTGTAACTCTGTATTGCTTCAGGTCAAAGGCTTTCATATCAGTCACTTGGAAAAGCCAGTGGGTTGTGTTGCCCCCGCTCCCAGATAGAAACTGCCTGCTCTGTTAGAAAGCCAGGGAGCTGCTGGGCTGTAGTGATGACTAATCTTGTTTAAGCAGGTGTTCCTCTTAAATCAGAGCTTAGGTCTCTTAGGACTCAAACTCTGCAAACTGGAACAGGGCAATGTTTTAATGAAGCTGATGTCTGTGGTTTATGTGCTTCAGTGCCACATCTGAGAGTTGGGTCTGAGTCAGAGGTCTGTCCTCCTGCTTCCTGGGCTGGGTGGAGCTGTGAGCTCTATCAGCGTCCTCATTCTCTGTGGTGAAGGAGTAATCTGGTGCCCTGCTCAGTTCTGCAGAGGTAACAAACAAAACAAGTTACGTTCTCTTTCATGCTGTGCCCACCTGGCAGTGGGCTTGCTAAAGCTTTTGAGGGTTTCACTGCCCGTGGAAATTGCATGGTGATCTTAGTGGGATGATTTGGACATCAGCAACATGTTCTGCCTGTCCCCACTCTCATTCAAGCATGGTAATAATGCCATTTTAAGCTGAAGTTTCCCCCCTAAAACGAGGGAGAGGGGAAGCTTTTTGCAGTGCCTGCTGTGATGGCTGTTTGGCTCTGAGCAGGTCCTTATCAGGGTGGTGCAGCAGTTGGTTAACAGACATTAATGTGCTGCAAGGCAGATTGCTGGACCTGTGTGCTGCAGGTAACAATGACTGATGGAGGCTGATTGCTTATGGTTTTTTGAATCTTATGCTGACTCTTCTGAAGACTCCTTAAAGGAGACCCCTTTGGGTAACTTATTATCTGGTAATCCCTGGCTCCTCTGAGCCTTTTGGAGATCCTCAGCATTTGCTCCGTGATCCCATGGCAATATTCTCCTCTGCTCTGGAACAAGGATAGGGTAATACAACACACTGGGTGTAACTGCAGTGAGGCAGGCTACGTGTTCCAGAGTGCAGCAGGGTTTGCTGGCCAGTGGCTGCAGAACCACAGACTGTAAGTTATGCTTCTGAGGTCACAGAGCAGGTCATTTCCTTGAGGTCCTTCCTGAAATCCCTGACACATCTCAGTGTCTTTACCTCTGGCAGATTGTCTCATTTTTCTGCTGTCCTGCACTCTACTGAAACAGGATTTGACTGACATGGTTTTTGTGAAGCTTGCTTTGATAACGTGGTAGAATCTGTTCAATGCTGTTAAATTCCAAAGGGTTGTTTTCCTCCTGACCCAGCAGTGGGAAGCACTGCTTCCCAGTGGGTAAGCACAGATCAGATGCCCTAATGCAAAGTTCTTTCCTGCTGCAATGCTTGGACCTGTTAAACCTGAGGCGCTCCTGTAGCTGTTTCAGTCTTTGGATTGCTCCCTCAGTGCTGTTCAGCTTCTCTCAGCTGCTTAAATTAAAAAAATATGGTGAAAAATACTTGATTTCTTTGGAAATGCAGCTTCTCCTTGGCTTGGAAAACCGTGAACTTCTCCCTGACAGCTTTATTTATGAATGGTTTTTCAGTTTCTATTTTCAGTTTCTATTTCAGAACAAACAAACAAGCGAGTGTTTTGGCTGTTTTGGTAACCTCTTGTTACACCATCTCTACCTTTATCCCTCATCTCATGACTGTTGGAGTAGAAGAGGGATTGTGTAAGAATAAATTTGTTTAGCACCATCATCTGTCTTGAAGTAGTGTGTAGTCTTCGTCCCTCAGTACCTTCTAGCAGATAAATTCAGAGCTGCTGATACAGTTGTAATATCTCCCCATCCTCTCTTCAGATGACCTGCAGTGTTTACCTAATGCAGCCTAATTGTGCAATAAATTCTTTTTGGCCTTTTGATAACAGGGAGAGTGTGAATAAGTACCTTTGCAGAAAGGGATTTGAGAAGAATTAGAAGCCTCTCACAGTTTTGGAAGATGTTTCAGCTAGGATTTTTTTCCTGCCTGTTTGAAAGGATCATCCAGTTAGGACTGGATGAGAGAAAGGTCTTTTTCCTGTGTTCTGGAATCTCTGCTGCTGTTCTCACTTGCAGAACTGGGGCTCCTTGAGTTGGCATTGTATCTTCATTGCTGAACAGGGCCCAGTGTCGTGTTAGGTGGCTCAATCTCTGCTGGTCCACTTACCTCTCTACTCTGGCTCTGCTGTTCCTGGCAGATGTTTGAGCCTCCTCACGCCTGGAGCTGTTTATTTAAACGGGTTTCCTTTGCTGTCCTGGGCTGCTCTGTGGCAGTTTCCTTACAGCTTGGGCAGTACCACAGAGGATTTGTTGCTTGACAAAGATTCAAGGTCCTGAGATCCTTGCAGACACGAAGGCCGTGTAGGAGACATCCAAATGGGATGGCTCTTGTTTAACCACATGGCATGACAGCTTCAGAGGCTCTTCCCTTTGCTTTCCCAGTCCAGGCATCACATATGGAGTGAGGATCCATGGTCTGGATCTTTCCCTCTTCTTGCTGTCACTCCCTGTGCCTGCTTCACTTCCTTGTAGAGTGTTTCTGTAATTGCAGGGCTGCTCCTGGATCTCTAAGTTTGAACTACAGCTGCCAGACATCCCCCTTGGATTTGGGATTTCTGTCTGTTTAACAGTAGAAACAGGATGCAAGTACTTAATTGTAAATTGGCAGTAAGTAAAGACAAGGCGACCTCTTTGGCGCTGTGAGGTTTAAAAAAAAAAAACCAACACAACTTCCTTTCAGTTAGATGAGGTGACCAGGAAAGTTACCAAGAAAAAACTTGGATGCTGAACACGGTTTTTGGTTTTGTTTTGTTTTTTTATTTTCCTGTTTTGTTTATTTTAACCCTGACACACTTCCCTTTGTAGAAGGCAGAGTTTTTTTAGTACAGCCAAGACCTGACCTCTTCCATTGCTTCCTTAAATACTGCAGGACTAGTTGACCTGAAACAAACTACCTTAAGGACATCACCTTGGTGCTCTGTGGACTGGCCATCTCTAATTCCTGGTGGCTGCCTTCTGGGCTTTGTAAATGCCTTTGAAGGATAAATTGCAGTCTTGTGTGGGAGCCTGGTATGGTGCATCCTCCTTAGCATCCCAGACAGATCAGTGATGGATTTGTGCTCTGCTCTGTTGTAGGACATGGATCCTCCTTGCATTCATGGGGTTCTGCTTCTGGTTGAAAGAGATCTGACTTTTCGGATGGAGAAGCCACCAGCAGGACAGGTAAAACCTGGGGGTTTGCTGGGCAGCCCTTGATATCCTTTCTTTAACTCTCCAAACAATGTGCTGGTATCATGTTTATTCTCACATGAAACCTCTGTAGCTGTTCTCTGTGTCTGATGGCTGTGGTATTTCTGGGCTTGTAATGTTTATGGGGGCTGAGCAGATCTCTGTCGTGCTCTGTTGTTTGCTGAGTCCATCAGTGATATTTGCACCGTAATTGTGTCAGTCTGAGTGAATAGATACCAGAGTGCATCTTGGACCTCCCTCTGCCCTTAAAACTGTTACAAGGGACAAGACTGGACTGAAATCCTGTGCCTGCTGAAACCCTGAAGGCTTCAGAGCAGGCCAGTACGTCCCTTTTGGCTCCTGTGGGTGAAGAGGTGGTGATAGGCATCAGGTTTGCTGTGTGTGTGGTGTGGTGTCCCAGAAGGCTAAAGAATAACAAATACCATCAGTCCTTTTCCTCACTGCCCCCTGTGGAAGAATGTGAAGTCAGAATGGAGGCTGCAGGGAGAGCTACAGAAGACATTAAACACACAGAACAAATACAGAGAGTGTGGGAGGGGACAGAGGAAAGGCTCATAAAGACACGGGTATGCAGGAGGAATTGGAAACATCATCACTATTTTGTAAGGAGGTGGAAACTTCACAGCGGGGGTGGGGGAGCTCAGTGTCTGCACCTGAGTTTGTGTCTGGGCTGGCTTCCATGTACCTGCAGGAGCACTTGTTGCTCTGGTGAGTATAAAAATCCTCTGAGGTCCTACAGACTTGCAGAAGGCGAGTTATCTGTGTCAAGATCCTTGAAACTCCTGTAGCAAGTAGCTGCTGCGATGAGTGGAGAGCTGAGGGCAGGGCAGAGGCTGCTCTGTTAGGCTGTTTCTCCAGGAAGTGAGATGGGGAAGCTGGGGGCTGGATTTAACCTCCCAGACTCTCCAAACAAATGCAAATTGCAGCACGATGTGGGAACATCTGAGGGAGTTGCTGTGCTTACCCTGGGAGGTACTGGCTCTGGAGAAGGCTGGCTGCTGCCAGGCTGCCATCACAGATGTTCTGCCTGGTGAAGCAGCGTGTTGTGGCCTGCATTCCTTCAGGGTTCGCCCACTGAGCTGTTCAACAAGCTGCTCTAAGATTGAATTGATTTTTTTTTTCTCCTTCATATTGTAGTGATATTGCAGATACACACTGTGTGTCGTGTTTCTGTGCAAGACAGAGAAGGAAATGAAGGATTCCGTCTGTTATTAACCTTCCCCTCCTCCTCCAATACTCACACTCTAAGGCGAGCCTGATTTTTTAAATTTTTTTCCTTCTATTCCTGTGCAGTTTGAACTCCTCACCTCCATGAAATCCCTCCATAAGCACATAGAGAGCTCACAGCTGCCTCTGGAGCTGGATGGGACCTTCCCCTACTGCCACCGGGACTGGCTGAGCTTCCGCATGGTGAGTGGGATGTGGGGAGTGCTTTGGCAGCTGAGAGGAGCAGTGGCACAGGAACGGAGTGGAAACAAGAGGAGCTGTCAACAGTTGACCCTACAGCATTCAAAGACAATGTTCCTGTGAGGGTTACGTGTGCAAATGAATCTCTGTTACCAAAAGAATGCTAATACTGTCTTCATAAAATGATTGGCGTGACTGCAGGAAGTAAAGTTTTAGTTTTTACCTCATCTGCTTGAACTGCATTAATTCTTCCTTCCCTTCGAGATATGGTCAAATCTGAAGTGGAATCCTGTTTTGTTTTATCCACAGTGGCTCTCCAGTTAGAGGATTGAGAACATACATTTCTTAAACTAATCTCAGGGGAGCGTGTTGGTGTCGTGTTCCCATTGAACTAACAGTCAAGAATTTGAGCATAATAAAAATAGTTACATCTTTTTGGTTTTGGAGCAAGTTCCCCAGATCAAGCTAAGAGCCCCATAGGAAAACTGCAGTCCTTACAGGAGTGAGACTTAGAAGTTCCTGATAATCAGTTCAGAATTCTTCTTCTAGGAATATTTTTTACCTCATGCAGCAGGGTGTGTGCACACTACCAGAAATCTGCACCTGTGGCACCAGTGCCCAACTCTGTGTGTGCCTGTGCTGTGGAGGGAGCCTGAGTGCTGTGGACTCATGTGCTGTTTGAATCTTCAAAAACTGTACTGAGTTATGAGTTACTTGGCATGCTGAGACTAGACAGGATTTAATCTCTGTAAATCTGCACACAAGTTGGCTGTCTTCACAGTGAGTGTGACCTGCTCACCCTGGGGGATGACAGAATTGTCACCTCAGCTTCCAGAGGATCCAGTGGTCTTTTGGCTCCGACCTCGCTGCCCAGAGTGCTGCATGGCACAGTGCACAGACAGATTAAGATGCCACTGATAAAACCACTGTGTGCTTCAGCAGTTAGACTTGGCATGTGGCAGTGCTAACTTACCTTTTCCAACTTATTTTAGAACCCAGTTTTCAAAACTTTCATCTAAAAATACTAGGATGGGCCCGTGCTGATGCCTGATCTTGGTGCCTGGGGTTGAATTTGAGATGCTGAAGTTCATTTGGCAGTGAGGAAGCAGAGGAACTTTGCAAGAGGTTATGGGTTAGTTTTCTGGACAGAGTTGGGAGTACCTCAAGAGCTGAGGTTCTCTGTGCGTGCAGAAAGGTAATTCTTGAGGGAAGGAGCACAATATCAAACTACTCCTTGTTTGTGTTGTGCATCCTAACGTGTGAAATGTTTCCAAAGGGAGCTGGTTTGTATGGATTGCCTGTCTGTACTGTGTGTGATAATGACCCATGTGCTCAGCCCCTTTAGCTCTGCAGCTATGTGGCAAATGGCATTTATTTCCTGTCCCAGTGATCTCACCTGCATCCTGCCTGCTAATCTGTCACTGCTGGGGCTGTTCCAGCACTCCGGGGAGGAGGGAGTTTGGCTCAGCACAGATTCAAACAGCTGCTTTTTTGTTTTGTTTTGAGTTATTTTGGAATAGCTGTTTCTCCCTTCTCTGGTTTCAGTGACTGGAGGGTGGCATCTGACAATACTTAGGCTTCATATCTCTGACTTTTCTAAAAAATAGTGGCTCAGGAACTCTTATGAAAAGTTGGGTCTTTTTTTGTTTGTTTGTTTTTCTCTCCCCTTCCCCCCACTCTGAAGAAAGGAAGGATTTCAGATTTGCCCATAGCTTAAGGTGCTTAATTTTGGAAGCTTTCCAGTTTCCTGTTCTTTAATTCGCACTACTTGTAACACAAAGAGAAATGATTTAAAGTAGAAAAATTCCAAGTACTTGTTTTATGTTTTGTTTCTCCAAAATTCATGCATGGTGATTCATCTTCATGGGAAGTGACAAGAAATGCTAATAGCAGAATAATGTGGGACTTAAGTGGCCTGATTTCTGTAGAGCATGGCCCATGCAAGCACGAGTATGCAAGTTTATAAGGTCTTAGGGTAGTGTGATGGGCCTCTCTCTGCTGGTTGAGCCTCACCAGATGTTCTAATTGAGCCCTTGGGTTAATGTGTTTGATTCTCTCTTGGGTTTTGTACTTTTAACCTTCTGCAAGCTCAAGACACACCTCTCCTGTCAGCTCTGAGACAATAATCTCTGCTTTGGTCCTTTCTCCTCATAGAAGCTGGAACACTTGCTACAAGGATGCCAAGGTGCCTGTGCCTTCCTTCAGGGAGCTATCCATAAAGTGGAATCTGGAAAATTACCAGGAAAAGCTGAGGTAAGCCTGTCCCTCACCTGTCATCAGAGGTGGGCCTGAGAGAGGAGAGAGCAGGACAGCTCAGAAAAGCTGCAGAAAAGCTGTAGCTTTGAATTTTCAAGCTGTAGTAGCAGGGTATTCCAAGTGCTGCATGTCACTGGGGAGCTGGTAGAACAGCAGGACTAGTAGAAGCTGATCCAAATGAAGTGGTAGAAGCTTCAGTGGGTCTGGGAGCTCATTGATCCCTCAGTGTCACCCAGGAGATCTCTCCAGCTGGGCTTGTTGCTGATGGGTGCTGGCTCTAGCACTGGAGTGCATTTTCAGCAGCTCCACAGCTCTGCAGCTCCTACGAGCTTTGGTGTGTCCAGGACAGAGCGGCTGCCTCGGGCTGTGCCACACCAGGTCAGCTCCAATGGCCTGGAGTAAAGTCAGGTGGCAGCACAGTTCTGGGTGTGGTTCCAGCTGTGCTGCCTCCAGAACAGGAGTCTGGAAATGGGCTGGAAGAGGGGGGAGGTACAAACACCAAGCCTGTGTTGTCACAAACATTCTGTTCCCCCTCTTGAGAAGCTGCTGTACCCCTGACGTGGTAGGACACTGCTGAGGGTCCCAGCAGTAAATCGAGGGAAGGTATCACAGGACATCCATCTTGTCCCAAGGCTTGAAGCCATGCAGGTCTGGGCTCTCAGAACAATAGGAGATAGCTGTGAGTGGAAGATGAGGCTGAACTCCTTCTGTGCCCAGCAAATGAATGGAACAACAATGATGGGAATTGAGTCACAATTTTAGCCTGGTGGGGAAAGCAGGGGAAGTGTAAGGAGTGCTGCTTATCACTTTGGACTTGGCAGGCTTGAGAGAAACAGCTGTGGGAAGCAGCCTCCCCCTTTCCCAGGGTGGGCCCAGGTGAGATGTGGTTTGGGTGTGTTTTGGGGTGGGTGCTGGTTTTTACCTGTTCCCTCATTGCCTGTGGGTTGCAGTCACTGCTCAGCTCACTCTTGTGATCCTTGCAGGATGCAGCTGTGCTGCTGAGGACCTACAGGCAGCTGATGAAGAACGTTCTGGAAGACACACGGCTGGTCAGGCTGCAGCTGGAGGGTGGAGCGCTCCTGGCCAGGCTGAGGAAGGAGGAGTCTTGTGTCACCCTCACCCCTGACTACAGGTGAGCCCCCAGAGTGGGAGAAGAGGAGATAGAGCTGAGCCAAGAACCAGGCACTGTGAATCTCCTTGAGATGCCCCTTCGATGCTGGAGGCTGGAGAGCAGCTTTGTGTAGTGAGGAATTACACTGAAAACAGCAAAGGTGAAAAATGGAGGTTTACTTTTATCCTGACTGTTTCATCCCTAGTCCAAAAACGAGTCTGGGTGGATTCACTTCCTTTTTCAAGCCAAATTAGACTTATCTTGTGTAGTGGAGAGAGAGCTGGGTATTTTGTGCACCTCTAAAACACAAGCCTTAATTGATGATGCCAGTGATGAATGTTTGGGTCCAGGGCATTATCGCTGTGTGATTTCCCAAGGCACTCCTTATGCAAGGGGATTTCCAAGGACCTTAGCTGTGAGGAATGCTTTCTGGCTGCAGCAAGCTCTGATCTCCTCACACACTGGTACTGCTTTGCACAAACAAATACTGGCTGCCCTTTTGCAGGGTTGGTATGAGAAGCAGGGGCTGAGAGAGCCCAGCTGTTCGACATCCCCGGGGCATTGCACAACTCCTGTTTGTGCTGCTGAAACACCTGAAGCCTATCAGCCTGTGAAGGCCTCTGTGCTATGTGCTGTGCAAACAACAAGGTAGAAAGGCAGCCTTTGCTCCCAGGAGCTTCCAGCCCCAGTGTGAGATAAGGCCTGGCGTGTGGGTGCAGGTGAGGGTGCAGCGGATGGCGGGGTGGTGTGAACTGCTCTGTGCATCCGCAGCCTCGCTCTGCTCAAACTCCCTGTTGCCATCACAAGCTGGGAGGTTGGAAGGGAGGGAATGGAGAGAAGATAACAAAATAGTTATGGAGTGTATCAGCCAAGCACAGGGAAAAGCAAAACATCTCTCTGAAAATTCAACAAGTGACAGTGCAAGTTGCTGCCCGTCACTGGGAGAAGGGGGTTGCTGACATTTTGGTGCTGAGAGGGGAGTGTGGGGACAGGCTGTGTAACTGTTTCTGTTCCCTGCTTGCTGTGACTGCTGTCAGCAGCTCTGGCAGGCTGTGCAGACAGTTGTCTTGCTGAACTGGTGAAGTAATCTTGATGCAATTTTGGATTGAATTGGTACAGTACAGTCTTTTCATTCTCACATGACATGAGAAGCACAATAATGAGAGTTTTTGTGTTCCATCTAGGGTTTTTTATTTATTTTATTTTAAGCAACACACAGCAACTTTAGAGTCCTAGGAGACTAGGGAGAACATGCATGGGTTTTATGTTCTGTTTTGGTTTTAAGCTAAGCCTATGTTCTTGTGCAGGGAAATGATCAACTTTGAAACCTGATCTGACAGAGCCCCTAAGGATAATTTACTGCTTTGATTACCTTAGCAGGGGCAGGGGTGGGGGATACACACAGAATTCTTTGATTGCACAGTGTTTGAGTGCATGCCCAGGCTGTGTAGCATGTTCTCTGCTTCATTCAAGACATATTCATTGCCTGCCAGTATGAGAGGGGACTGCATGCCCTGGCTCAAATACGTGTGTCTGTCCCCAGCCTGAGGAGCATAAATGAACAGAGCAGGAGAAACTTATCCCTCTTCTAGCCTGTGCAGTAGTTGTAGAAATTAAAATCCACGCAGTATCTTTATTGAGGAAATGTCTGCTTTTGATCTAACTCGGGGCAGAGGACTAAATAAATCCACTCTTCCCTGTTCCAGGATCCTTTCAAATGGGGAAAAAAAGCTCTATCACTTGGCTAGAGAACCCTGTATAAGGCACTGTTGGTTTTGGATCTTCCATGGCTCTACTCTTACTCCTTCTTTCCAATCTGGTATGCAGATACCAAAGGTTCTGAGCTCTCCTAACCCTGTAAAGGCTCCTTTGGTTATGATTTTCCACAGGCTTTTGTAGCAGATGTGATCAAAGCAGGGTAGGGACAAAATACTGTAGTTGACCTACTAAGCTGACATGGAGAAGATACTGATGTATGTGGGGCCAGTGTTCAGTTTCTAACTGGTGATGTGTGAAAATGGAACAGGACCTTGGGTGTGCACTCAGCAGGGCCTGTGGTACTGCTGCTCTGGACTTTGGATTGTAAAATCCAGATCAGTTCTTAAAGCTTAATTCCACACCCACTCTCCCAGTACTTGAAATCAAATTATTTACAAAAGCAAGTCAAATGGCTTTACTTTTCTAAGCCACCTTTTGGCTCTGGTTTCTATCACGTGTCCCATTGATTTTTGTTCTCTCCTGTGGTGCAGAAGTCTGATAAAACAGGGAGTTGTGACTGCCAGCACTTCTTATTCCTAAGCTGAGGCCAGCTGTGAACAGGTAGCTGTCAAAATGTGCAAGAATTACAATTTTAAGAGCAATTTTCTGGACTCTTGCCTCCACTTAATTAAAAGAGGCCATCCAAAAGTGGAGAGCTGAAGGTAAAATTGCAGCACCACAGCAGTGGCTTTGACAAGTACCTCAACTCTTGGTCAGCTCACAGTGCCAGTCTTCATGCTTCTTTCTCCACCAAGTACCAGTGTAAAAGATCTGTTGGTCAGCATGGACAAATGCCATGGAGATCTCCATCCCTTCAATGCTCTTAATAATTCTTTTTGCACTTGGAAACAGGAAATTTTTCATTACCATGCTCTTTTTAATAAGGAACATAGAGTTGGTTAGCAGGTGTAGCTTTGGCTGCTGGCTTATCTAGTGTAGTGATCAATTAACCTGCAGCTTGCAGGCAACTCCCTGAGCCAGCTGTGGGAGGTGGACTAAATGCATTGCTGCTTTTGTGGTGGATTTGGAAGCCTTGTGTTAGGATGGAGGTATCAGAGAAGCTGCCAGAAGCCAGGCAGCAGCCGTGGGAGCTCTTGCCTAAAGCAAGGCAGCCACGTGGGGCTGGGTGGCAAGACAAGGAGACTTCTGACCTGGTCTTTAGCCAGGCATTTTCCACTGTTCTCATTATTGCTGCTCTTCCAGCATAGCCAGGAGCTGGGAATGTGTGCCCAGCCGAAGTGTCCGGTGGTGCCTTGCGTCCTGCAGATAGCGCTGTGAGTCACAGGTGGAGTAAAGAAGGGAGAAACATTTTATATTAATGCCAAGATGGTTTGTGCTGGTTAAACCAGGATACACCTGCCACATGCCTGGCTCTCCCAGCAAACCCACGTTCTCACATGGAGGTGGGATTGCATCGTGCTCTGCGTGGTGATGGGCAAGATACGCCCAAGGCTGGAGGTGAGAGCCGAAAGAAAGAGAAAAACCTCAGATGGTGAAGGAATGACCACGTTGAGTGCTTGGCTCTGTGCAACATGGAACCAGAGAAAGCATAACCTCTTCCCCCAAGCTCCTCATCTGAAAAGAATCTGTGCTTGCAAGCTGTGAATAAGCAGCTTATAAATAGATGGAGGAGTGAATTCTCCTTTGTTTGCAGTATAGTTAGTGTCTGTACTTTGAGGGTGGAGTGGCTAGAGCCGAGAGCTGGTTTTGTGAGCTGGCTATTTTTAGTGTGGCTTGGTGATCTGGTTGGAAGCCCTGGGTGGGGATCTGAGCAGAGGTAATGGGCAGCACGGAGCAGACTTCCTGAGCAGCAGCTGCCAGGTTCCTGATGCTGGACCTGACTCAGTCAGAACAACAAAGAGGATGATCTTACAGCTAGCAGCACAGTTCTCGTGACTGTCTTCCACTCACACTGTTGAGACACTGGGCATGCTTGAAGCCGTGGCCAGTTTGTGATGCAGTGGGTTTATAGCTGTGTGGTGCTGCACAGCTCATGTTTGTGGGTCTTTAGCAAGACTCCTGCTAATATAGCAACTCCTTGGATGCTGGCACATGCTGCTCTGCAGAGTGGTGTATGAGTTCCCTTGGGTAATGTGCAGGCTCTCTGCCCCCTGCCAAGCAACTACACAGCACCATCTGCAGCTCTGTCTGCCTGGGACAGAGAAAGGAGAGACTAAGCTGATAGTCCAAAACATGGGACAAATTGGTAGCAAAGTTAGAGGTGTCTGATCTGGGCAGACTGGGATGGTTGGGATTCTTGGTTTGGAAGGTGCAGTGTGTGCATCTGCAAGCTGGCAGCTGGTGCCATAGGCTGGTGGTCATAGCCAGGCAACTTATGCTGAGAAACCCTCCCTGGAGGCATCACTGTCTTCTGCCATCCCTTTTCTTCTCCTCCTTCAGAGATGTGTGTCTGCTGTGTCTCTGTGTGTTTGTCCATGCTTTAGAAGGTGGTAGTGCCTGTGTCACTCAGTGCCAGTTCCTTGGTTTGCTTAAGTAGCACTTGCTCCTCTTCCACCCTCTCTGGTTGCTTCGGGAGCCTCTTGTGCTGCCACTCACCCCAGTGCACCCTCCTGACATGATCTGGGAGAGCCACCTTGCTTTGGGAGCTCCTTCACGTGTTCCTGCAACCCTCACCTTGGGACAAGCCCTCAAGTGTCCCTTTGAAGGGACATGAATAAAAGGAGCATAAATTCTGCCCTCAGAGGTTGCAGCTCTGCCCTGAGACGCCTCTGCACTGTCGCCGGCGACACAGAAGGTGCTGACGAGCGCTAAACCTCGGCCCAGCAGGGCTGGCAGTGCTTGTGCACGGCCTTATTTGTTTGTGTCAGGTGGAGGGAGGAGCACGGGGCGACATTTCGACCCAAACACGTACTGTGCTGCTTGGTATTCATTCTGGTTACGGTCTAACCTGTTCCCTCTGTTTGCCTGGTGGTTTTAGCCTGGTAAAAAAGCACTTACCCTCGCATTAAACAAACCTCGTTGCTCCACACACATAAAGGAGTGTGGAGCTGGAGCTTGGTGTCCTTCTGAGTGCATGAAGTGCTGTGTGGAGTCAGTTGTGGCATTTGCAGAGAGGTGAAAGATTGCAGAGTTCTATCTAGGTAAGTTCTCATTGTTCTTTTAGGCTTTTTACGAGATGATTCCCCTCAGCTCCCCTTCTGTTGTTTGTTTTCTGCTGTTTTATGTCCTAAATCATCTTGGATTCAGTGAGAATTTACCCAGAAGGCTCCAGTTTTGCTTGGTTTTTGTTTGCAATATTTGTC